TTTGGTGCTAGTGGAAATCGGATTATTTTGTTAATTTTGCACATGTAATTTGTTGTTATTTTGTAGGAATATATCTTTATTTTATTTGCTGATTTTATATACTGATATTTTCGCTGAGCTCATGAGTTATTTCTTCCAGTTTTTATGTGAAGTTTTTACTCGTTGACTCTATTAAGACATTGTCATAGAAAACTAATTATTTTCTTTGCAGGTTACCACAGTTTTCTTTTTTTTATGTAGTTTTCTTGCTACGTTTACTGGTAGGTCCTTCAGGCTGGGGCAGAAGCATTTTCCTCTTGTCTTCAGGATGCATTGTCTGTTCTATTTTTTTACGTGCATCCTATGTTTATTGCAGCATTTTTTAAATAATAATTTTATTTTTATTGGTGTTCAATTTGCCAACATACAGAATAACACCCAGTGCTCATCCCGTCAAGTGCCCCCCTCAGTGCCCATCACACATTCACCCCCACCCCCGCCATCATCCCTTCCACCACCCCTAGTTCGTTTCCCAGAGTCAGGAGTCTTCTGTGTTCTGTCTCCCTTTCTGATATTTCCCACACATTTCTTCTCCCTTCCCTTCAATTTCCTTTCACTATTATTTATATTCCCCAAATGAATGAGAACATATATTGTTTGTCCTTCTCTGACTGACTTATTTCACTCAGCCATAATATGCTCCAGTTCCATCCACGTTGAAGCAAATGGTGGGTATTTGTCGTTTCTAATGGCTGAGGAATATTCCATTGTATACATAGACCACATCTTCTTTATCCATTCATCTTTCGATGGACACTGAGGCTCTTTCCACAGTTTGGCTACTGTGGACATTGCTGCTAGAAACTTCGGGGTGCAGGTGTCCCGTCGTTTCATTGCATGTGCATCTGTCGGATAAGCAGTTGATATAAGGTAGACCTAGAGGAGACAATAAATTTCATTTTGTATGTGGATGACCTACCTAATATAAAGTGACATTCTACAACTCAAATCAGGACAAGGTGAATCATCATGTCCTCTGCCCATTTCTGATTGTAGTTTTCACTTTGTGGTTGTTTAGTTTGGTAATTTATTTTTCGATTTTGGAAACCAGCCTTAATCTGGAGATAGATTTGCAAATCTCTTCTCCCATTGTTTTTATTCTTTTGGAAGATGTTATTTATTTATTCATCAGAGACGGAGAGAGAGATTCAGAGATGGGCAGAGGGAGAAGTGGGCTCCCCACATGGAGCCTAATGCTGGTCTCATTCCTAGAGCTCTAGGACTCCCTGAGCCAAAGACAGATGCTCAAGCTACACAGGCATCCGTATCTTTTCCAGTTGTTAGGTTGCCTTTTAATTATGTTGAGTGTTTCCACAGCTGTACGACAGCTCCTTCCTTGGTGTAGTCCATAGAGTTCACTCTTACTTTTGTTTCCCTTCCCTTTGGAGATTCGAGTACCAAGAACCTGTTGTGGCTGAGGTCACAAAATCTCCTTGATTTTGATGGTTTCTTGCCTCACATTTAGGTTTTTCATCTACTCTGAGTTTATCTTTGTGTGGAGTGTAAGAATGTGGCCCAGGTTCATTCTATTTGCAGTGTCCAATGTTCCCAACACCACTTGTTCAAGAGATTGTCCTTTTTCCAGTTGATAGTCTTTTGTACTTTGTGGAGGATAAGTTGGCCATTGAGCTTTGTTTCCCTTTATGGGTTCATTTTCTATTCCATTGACCATGTGCATGTTTTACTGTCACTATTATACTGATTATATATTTGATGATCACAACTTTGAAATCTGAAACTCTGATGGCTTTTGCTTTTTTAAAAAAGTTTTTATTTACTCATGAGAGACACAGAGAGACAGAGAGAATGGCAGAGACACAGGCAGAGGGAGCAGCAGGCACCATGTGGGAAGCCTGATATGGGACTCATTCCCAGGTCTGCAGGATCACGCCCTGGACAAAAAGGCAGTGCGAAAACGTTGAGCCACCCGGGCTGCACTGATTTGTTTTTTGTTTCAAAATTCTTTTGCTTACTCAGAATCTTTCTGTTTATTTACAAATTGTAGGCTTTTTCCATTCCCTAGAAAAAAGTTGGTGGTGTTTTGATAGGGTTCATATTGAATGTTAGATTGTTGTTGGTGGCTTATACATTATATGAATATTTATTTTTCCAATCCATTGCTGCTATAAACATCGGGGTGCAGGTGTCCTGCTGTTTCACTGCATCTGTATCTTTGGGGTAAATCCCCAGTATTGCAATTACTGTGTTGTAGGGTAGCTATATTTTTACCTCTTTGAGGAACCTGCACACAGTTTTCCAGAGTGTCTCCACCAGTTCAGATGCCTTTGAAACCTAATCCATTACAGAGACAGAATCACATCTGTAATTGGAGAGGAGGTAAAATCAGATCATTTGTCTTATTCATCATCGTCCAGGTTCTGAATTGATGAGGGCCCAGGAGTCCCTGGCCATTTCCCCAGAGGGTGAGGTTCTCAGAGACATTGACACCCAGAGGCAGATAAATATCCAGAGAGGTTCTAAGCGTGGATCTATTCCCAGCTTCAGAAACTCCAGAGCCCAACAGGAGAGACCTCTATTCCCAGACTCACTCTGTACCTGCCCCTGGGGCTGGGATCTGTGGTCAGAGGGTCCTGAGGGGCCCAAGGGACCACATTCCTCTTCCTCTTCCTCACCAGGGCTTGATGCTCCCCTACCTGGTGGTCCGGTGTCTCAGTTCCCAGGTTCCTGAGCATTGGGGTGTGCACAGATCTACTGTATCCAAAGTGGAGCACCAGGTGCATCTTCACCAATGGTGCAAGAGGGGTCAACTTTTCCACAGCCTTGCCAACATCCGCTTTTTCCTGCCTTGTTAATTTTAGCCATTCTGAGCAGTGCGAGGTGATATCGCCTTGTGGTTTTGAATTGAATTTTCCTGAACCTGATTGATGTGGTGCATTTTTCATGTTTGTTGGCTATTTATGTATCTCTTGGGAGAAATATATGTTTGTGTTTTCAGCTCATTTCTTGAGTGGAATTTTTAAACTTTGAGTGCTGTGTTTGCTAAGTTCTTTATAGATTTTGGATACTAACCCTTTAAATAATTTCTAATTTGCAAATATCTTTTCCCCTTTTTGTATTTTTACTTTTAACTGACTCTTTCCTTTACTGTGAAGAACGTTTTATCCTGATGAAGTCCCAGCAGTTTGTTTTTGCCATAGTCTTATTTTCCGTTGGAAATATGTCTTGTAAGATGTTGTTGTGACCAATATCAGAGAGGTTCCTGCCGGTGTTCTTCTGCAGGATTATGAGTGACTCCTGTCTCACATGCAGGTCCTTCATCCCTTTTGAATTTTTGTTATGTCTGGTATAAGAAAGTGGGTCAGGTTCATTCTTCTGCATAGAGCTGTCCAAGTATTCTAACACCACATTTGGAAGGCTCTTTTGTTTACTTTGATTTATTTTCCATTTGTATTTCTGTCGCGTGTCAAGGATGATTTTACCATCAATGGGTGGGTCACTTCTGGGTTCTCTACTCTGCTCCCTTCATCTATGTGTCTATTTTGTACCAGATCCATACCGTCTTAATGATCACAGCTTTGTAAAACAGCTTGAAGTGGGGGATTCTGATGCCTCCACATTTACTTTGCTTTTTCAACATCCATGTGGGTATTTTCTGGTTACATTAAAACATTAGGATTGTTTATTCCAGCTTTGTGCAAAAACTTTGAAGACATTTTGATAGTAATAGCATTAAATATGTAATTTTCTGGGACCTCTGCATTGCTCAGCCAATGAGTTTCCTCCTTTGGCTCAAGGTGTGATCCCAGAGTCCTGGGATTGAGTCCCAAATCTGGCTCTTTTTGGGCTTCCTGCAGGGAGCCTGCTTCTCCATCTGCCTCTGTCTGCCTCTCTGTTTCTCTCATGAATACATAAATAAAATCTTTTAAATACATGTTGATTTCCTTGGGTAGCATAAATATTCAAAAATATATTTTCTTCTAATCCTTGAACACGGAATTCTTTTTTCTTAGTTCTTCATGTCTTCCTCAATTTCTTTTCTAAGTTTTCTACAGTTCTCACAGTATAGATCCTTTACCTCTTTGTTTTGGATCATGCTTAACTATTGTTATTACAATTGTAAATGAGAATGATGACTGGGTTTCTCTTTCTTATGTCTCACTGTCAGTATATAGAAATGTCCCTGATTTCTGTGTTTTGGTTTTATAACCTGTTATCTTGCTGAATTGCAATATGAATTGAGTTTATGTAGACCTCCAGACGGTATGGAGTTAACGCCTGTAGACCTGAGCCCTGTGTGTGATACCCGGACCCTGTGGCCATGGAAAGCCTATGGGTTAGGTTTTTAGGTCACATTTTCCCAGGTCATCCAATGATGCCTGTGTTTGTGGTGACTCCCAGTAATGCCTGAAGGACTGAGACACCATTGGGGTGGGCTGGGTGGAGAGGAGCCTCTGTAGAAACTCAGCACTGAAGGGGGGGTCTGCCAAGATGATGTGCTGATGTAGACTGAGCTTGAACCTGGCGCACCTGTCAGCCCAGGACTTGTGTCCATGAGTTCATGAGTGTCCTACCAGAATCTGAGGAATATGATGCTCGATCGGAGAGTGGGGCAGAGAAATTCATCCATGGCGTTCACATCCTTTCTTTTCTCCAAGCACACTGTCACATTTCAAAACAAGTGGGAAAATTTTTGACCCTGTTGCAGGCAAATCAACAGTCTCAGATTGTGTAGCATAACACTTTACGACACTTCCCAGATAAGACCTCAAGGAGTTTCACCTTTTGTGTCCAAATGGTTGCAAAAATCTGCACGATAAAACGTAATAAAATTTTTTTATGCAAAGTGTTTAACTAGGATCATTCTTTCTGTGTAACTGTCACTTCAAACCTTTGTAGAGAGAATGATGTGCACAAGAGTATATTAAGTTTGTCCAAAACCCCTGACACGTTGGTATCAGGAAGTCAGAGAATCCTTGTTTGTATCACTCCTCAATGACCCGTCACAGCTGCGCTCTCACCGGGGTTTCTGACACTCCCAGGATGTGGGTTCTCACACTGTGTCTCGCACAGTAGTACACGGCTGTGTCCTCAGCTCTCAGACTGCTCAGCTCCATGTAGGCTGTGCTTGTGGATGTGTCTGCTGTCAGGGTGACTCTGCCCTGGAACTTCTGTGCATACCTTGTGGCACCATCTTCAGGATCAATCCGTCCCATCCAATCAAGCCCTGCTCCTGGAGCCTGTCGTACCCAGTGCATATAGTAGTCAGTGAAGGTGTATCCAGATGTCTTGCAGGAGACCTTCACAGATGCCCCTGGCTTCTTCACCTCAGCCCCAGACTGCACCAGCTGGACCTCAGAGTGCACACCTGTGGAGAGGAACAGGAGGGGATGAAGTCATCCTTGACTGGGCCTGGTCCCGTCCTCAGCCTTACTTGTGGGGTGTCCCCTACCTGTGGCCAGTGCCAGCAGGAAGAAGATTCCCCAGCTGCGGTCCATAGTGAGGACTGTGCTCGGAGGGGCTTCTGGAGGAAGGGTGTGCAGGAGTTGGTGACTCAGGGCACAGATATTCCTATACTTATTATCCTAATGCATCACGGACAATTTGCATATTCATGAGATGGAGTATTTCATACTCAAGACAACCCTCATCTAGAGAAGGAGCAGATCATCATCACAGGACTGTGCTATGTATGAACCTGAGGCCCAAGTCCTAATCCTCATTGACGACGTAGGTCCCCTTCTAGATCCCTGAACTGTCTGCAGACAGAATGTCCCCACTGAAGGTCTGGAAGACACAGGACATCCTCCTCATCGTGAAGCCATCTCTGAATGACAGAGCCTCTATGAACCTGATGTTGGCTCTGAGATCTGAATGTCTTATTCGTGGATCAGTGTGTCTCCAATATACTGCATCCAGTGAGGTAATCAGTGCATTCCCACCTCCATCTCTTCACACCTCAGATATGTAAAAGCCATGGAATTGCTTTCCTGCAAATGTGCTCCTCATTGCCTAGTGCTTGGTAAATGCTCCTGACAGAACAGGAGACTTAAACATCCTGTAGCACTCCCTGTCCTACTTGCATTTTATTTATTTATTTATTTTTAAAGAATCTATTTATATATTCATGAGAGATACACACACACACACCACACCAGAGAGATGAGAGAGAGAGAGGCAGAGACACAGGCAGAGGCAAAAGCAGGCTCCACTCAGGGAGTCCGATGTGGGACTCAATCCCTGGCCCCTAAGACCATGCCCTGGGCTGAAGGCAGGTGCTAAACCTCTGAACCACACAGGGATTCCCCTTACTTGCATTTTAGATTGTATTCTGAGCTGGGTGATGGGCACTGAGGAGGGCTCTTGCTGGGATGAGCGCTGAGTGTTAACTACGATAGCAAAACAAACTTCAATTAAAAACTGTTTCCTGAACAAGGTGACCCCGACTTCAAAGAGGAAAGCCTTCTCCAGACCCCTCTGCAGGTGTTCCTCTGGCAACAGCCCTGCGCTAGATGTTCCTTGCTCCCCTGCAGCCTTGACCCTGAGCCTGCAGGGAGGACCCTGTCTGAGCTCACAGGGTATTTACTGCAGGGCCTCTACTCCTCTCTTGCATGGTGAAGTGATGCAGAATATGACACCCCAAGTGTGTCCCTGAAATTTAAGGTCCTTGTAAAACAGCCAGTACAGGGATACCCTGACTCTCCCTGACTCTCTGAGTTGGAAAATTCTTCCAAGGGAAAGACCTCCTCCCTATTCCATGAAGGGTGATTTCATTAGGACAAGAAATAGGATTTGAGGCCCAACAAGGTGTAGAAACAAACCTTACTTCTTTAATAATTTATGTCAACAAACACAGATTTCTTTGTGTAGACATGCTTCCCCACCATTTATAAAGATGTAAATATTAGTTCTTTGCTGACATCTCTGTGACTTTCTATTTTACAATCTCTTCTATAGGCAAAATTGATATTCTTTTTATCTTGTTTATTTTAAGGAATAAATTCATTTTGTATTGGTGTTCAATTTGCCAACATACAGGATAACACCCAGTCCTCATCCCGTCAAGTGACGGGCACTGAGGGGGACACTTATGTTGTTTTCTTATGTCAGTGTAAGTATTTAACCAGCCTAAGATCCTAGAAGGGAATGAGGGAAATCTTTCTGCCCCTACGGTGGGTGTGTTGTGACTTCAAAGAGCTCTTCCTGCAACACCATGTGCTCTGATAACATCTCCTGCAATAGGTGCCTTGCCTTTCTAGCTGTGCAGTCAGCAGGGAGACCCCAATCAAGGGTCCTCTGAACCCTGATGGAGCTCCAGATGCACTGACACAGTCCCAACTCACTGGAGTCCAGAAGCTCAGAGCTCTCGGGGAAATCTCTTATCTGCTTTGGGTTCCTGGGTTTGAAGGTCATGTCTGACTATATCTTCTTGCACAGAAACATGAAGCTCACTGCCCCCTGCATAACCACTGTCCAATAACATGCACACACACTGTAGCTGTTATTTGCAGTAAGGATCTCAATGTCCTCTTCTTCTCTGCACCTAGCTCATGGGCAGTGTCCTCCACATGGACACTGGCCTGGGTGTGTTTCTTGTTTCACTATTATGGAACTAAAGTAAATAGAATTCAACCAGAGATGGGGATGCATGTGACTTTTGTTTTTTTCTGTTCTTCCCTGTAGGGCTGCAGACAGGGGGGATCTGGCCTGCCTCTCAGAGTATAATTCCCAGGCTGACCTAACCTGTCAGTGCTGCCAGCTCTGTACTCCATACCCATGGGGAAGGTCTCGGTAACCATGCAGTCCCTGGAGGTCCTATTTCCCAGAAGGCACAGCCACGACCACCGATGGAGGCCATGGAGGTCACTGGAAAGGGCAGTCTCCCAAGGCAAAGACAGCAGTTGATGCAGGAATAGGGTTCCTGGAATGCTACATGATGGATCAGCTTCCCCTAACTGAGTGACAGGGAACAGTCTCTGAACTGGAGGTGTCCCTCCTGGAGATCACTCCCTGTCTCACTTGTGCAAATGGGCTCACATATCGATCATGATTCAGAACAGAAGAGCTGCACGTAAAAACCATAGTGGGGGAAATGCATATGCTTCTGGTTTGGATAAAATGCCACCTCACTACTGCTTGATGTTGTGTGTAGACAATACTCGTGGGTCTTCTTCAAGGTGGACAGTGCTGCTGAGCTCTGGGAGGTTTCTGGTCACTGCCACAGTGTATGATCGTCCAGCTTGTCTCACAGTCATGTTCAATAAGGCTGCACACATCACACATCAGGATGCGTTCAAGCGTCTGTCCCCTCTGAACTGGGTTGGGCCCTCAGTACATGCCCATCATACAGGAGACCTGGTTTGTGCAGGGAATCTCGGCTGTGCTCACTGCTCTGGTTCAGTGTGAACACCACTAGGTATGAACAGTCCTGGAGCAGAGGAAGGCCAGGAGCTGTCATCCATTGACCATCCCAGGACTGAAGCTGAGGGCCTGGTGACCCCATGCTTGTGGAAGAGGTGACCCTGAGAATTAGAGGAGCAGAACTAGCAGCACCTTGTCAGCTCTCTCAGGTTATGCACCAGGTCACTTGGTGGGTAGGGGAGGAGAGGGGCAGGGGAGTGGCATCAGCTCTCTGAGAGTCACCTCACCTTCCCCATGACCACTCTTTACCAGACAGCTTGGGTTTGTCCATTCCTAGGGTGCCACCCTGCTGGTCAGCCCTCATCCTGACACCTGCCAAACAATGCATAGATCAATGGAACAGAGCAGAGAACACAGAAATGGATCCTCAACTCTATGGGCAACTACTCCTCAAGCAGCAAGAAAAAATATCTAATGAAAGAAAGTCTCATCAATAAGTGGATCTGAAAAAAATTGGACAGCCACCTGCATAAGAATGAAAGTGGACCATTCAGATACAACAGACACAAACATAATCTCAAAATGGATGAAATCTGAGACACTAATCCATCAAAATCCTAGAGGAGAATTCAGGTAGTAACTTTTTTCCTCGGCTGCAGAGACTGCTACAAGGCACCTAGCAAAAGGCCTAGGAAACAAAGGGAAAGTAAACTAATAGGACTTAATCAAGATAGAATCTGTACAACAATGCATCAGGTGACAAATTGAAATGCCACAAAATAGGAGAAGATATTTCCTTAACAAAGTCAGCACCATTAGAAACGACAAATACCCACCATTTGCTTCAGGTGGATGGAACTGGAGGGTATTATGCTGAGTGAAGTAAGTCAATCGGAGAAGGACGAACAATGTATGTTCTCATTCATTTGGGGAATATGAATAATAGTGAAAGGGAATATAAGGGAAGGGAGAAGAAATGTGTGGGAAATATCAGAAAGGGAGACAGAACATTAAGACTCCTATCTCTGGGAAATGAACTAGGGGTGGTGGAGGGGGAGGAGGGCGGGGGGTGGGGGTGAATGGGTGACGGGCACTGAGGGGGACACTTGACGGGATGAGCACTGGGTGTTATTCTGTATGTTGGTAAATTGAACACCAATAAAAATTAATTTATTAAAAAAAAACAAAGTCAGCACCCAACAGAACAAACAATCCAGTCAAAGAATGGAGACAATGCACAGACCTACACATGGCCAACAGGCAGATGAGAAAAATGATCCACATGACTACTCATCCAGGAAATACAAATGAAAACCACACTACGATCCCACTTATACAACTCCGAATGGATAAAGTAACAAGGCCAGAAACAATAAAGGGAGGATATCAAGAAAGTGAAACTTTCTCTTTCACTTTTGGTGGGAATGCAGGCTTGTTCAGCCACTCCAGAAAACAGAATGGAATGTCCTGAAAAAGTGAGAATAGAGCCACCGTATGATGCAGCCACTACACTACAGGGTATTTACCCAAAATACACAAATTGGATGAAATTAAGGGACCCCTGCACCCCAATGTTCACAGCAGCAATGTCTACAATAGCCAAACTGTGGGAAGAATCAGGATGCCTTTCTACAGAAGAGTGGATAAAGAAACTGAAGAAGGAGACTCAATGTCCATCAACAGATGAATGGATAAAGGAGATGTGGTCTATATATGCAATAGGACATTACTCAGCCATTAGAAATGATGAATATCCACCATTTGCTTCAACGCAGATGGAACTGGAGGGTATTATGCTGAGTGAAGTAAGTGATTCAGAGAAGGACAAACATTATATGGTTTCACACATACAAAGAACATAAGAAATAGTGCAACGGAATAAAGGGGAAGGGACATAGAATGAGTGGGAATTATCAGAGACAGTGAGAGTACATGAGAAACTCCTAAGTATGGGGGGAAAAAACAAGGAGAGTGGAAGCGGAGATGGTCAGGGGGTTGGGGTGCCTGGATGACAGGAGATGAGGGGGGAAGTGGCAGAATGAGTACTGGCTGTTATATGTTGGCAAATCGAACCCCAATAAAAAAATATACACAAAATGTGGTTTATATATACAATGGGATATTACACAGCTGTCAGAAATGATGAATAACATGAAATAACAGTTCCTTCAACATAG